AAAAACAAGAACCCATTGAAACCCCAATCTTTTGAATATAAAGCTCATCCATAAAAATAAAAATATTATTATGAATAACCCATTCTGTAAGCTTTAACAAAAAATCACAAGAAGATTTGGGGATGTCACTCTCAGTAAGAAAATATTTTAGAGCAGATAAACCCTCTTGATGTTCAATATTAGTGTACAAACTTTCAACATCCATTGTCACAAGAAACTGGTCTTTAATGTTCGGCAAAGATCCAATCCTGTTCAGTACATCTGTAGTGTCCTCAATGAAAGATGGAAGTATTCTTCTTACCAAAGGTTTTATGTAGTAGTCAATGTATTTGGTATCTGGCTCAGTGAGAGTGCCATTACCAGATATAATAGGACGTCCAGGGGGATTGTCCTTGGGCCCCTTGTGGACCTTAGGCAACAGATAGAAGGCTGCCAGAACCGGGTGTTCAACTGTTAAAAAAACAAATTTGTTGTCATTAATAATTGTCATGTCCCATGCTTCCTTTAAGAGTATATCAAATTGTTTTTTCATAACTAACAAAGGATTGGTAAAGAGTCTTTCATAATGTCTCGTGTCGATGAGCCTCCTGCACATATTTAGCTTTAGATAAGACGACTACAGCACCACCCTTATCTGCTGGACGAATTATTATATCTGTATTATCAGAAAGTTCATTTAGGGCTTTGCGCTCCTTGTGAGATAGATTATTCCTAGGAAGGAATGGATTACTCTGTATTAATTTGTTTACCTCATAGTCAATTTTCCTCGTAAAAGTAAGTAGTGTCGGATTAGAAACAGTCGGTTGATTTAGGTTTAAAATTTGTTGACTGAATACCATTCCCCATAGAGGTAACAGACCCGTTAGACACAGCCTGGTTGTTATTAGTATTATAATACTATAATTAAGATGTAAGTTCCTATAGAAGCGGAATAAGTCAACCTTAGTCTGAAATTCATTAACACCATTGGTAGGGGCAAAAGTAAGGCCCTTAGATAACACTTTTGTATGCTCATTACTTGAATTGAAATCAGAAAGGTTAATGTCCTCAGAAAGATTCTGCTCAGTCTGATAATATTGTGATCTGCAGCATGTGCTCCCGTCCCTGCAAATCACGTCCACATGTTTAGTCTGAAAATGACGTCTTTTTGGAACAATATTCTCACATGTATTAGTTCATCTTTAGATAATCTGTTCAGCCATTGTCACACACAGTGTAAAATCTAAATGTTTATTTGTATTTTACGTACTTGTTTCTCTCCTGGTTTCCACAGTTAATGGGTTAAAGTGTTGGGGTCATGTTGCCTGTTTAACATTCATCACTGTGTGGTTCTAGGTGTATTCTGTATTTGTTTTGTAATGCTGCTTTATAAAAGGGGAGAAGGGCACTGGGCTGGAGCAGTGTGGGTTCTTTTGACCGTGTTCTGTGGCAGAGATCTGGTGCCAGTAAATATCGGGGAACACAGTATTTTTGGGACTTTTTACAGAAGACACTCGTCTAAGACCAAACACGCTGTAGCCAAAACCAACCCTGTATATGGCAAGATTTGGCCTCGACAATTACTGAAACATGAAACAAAACACAATTCTCGGATGTGTGTAAGGAGGAAGCAACATTAAAATATTTTCAGATATTATTGTAGCTGTTGTTGGTTTTATCTCCTAGTTTAAAGATGAGATAAATAATGTCACTATTTCCATATTGTAACAAACACTGTTGTTTTCAGACATGAGTCTCAGGACTTGACCAGGGGACGGTTCAGGGTCCGGACCAAGACTTGCACCAGCAGCAGACCAAAAGACCAGTCTCCACTTTCCTCTGAGGAGTCTGAGTCTGAACAGAGGTAAGAGACGGAGCTCTAAAACTCACTGTCAAAAGACACACACATCAGTTCAGTTAATATGATCAGAAAAAACAACAACATGGGACTGTGTGGGGCAGGGAAGTGTTTTTAAAGAGTGAGGTTTTGTTTTATATTTATTTACACACAATACTGTGATCCCAAAATACATACATTACATTTGATACATGGAAAAATAGTGTTTAAAAAGATATTGTGCTTGTGTCTGTTATATATTTATATTTTTAAGGGGCTCTTCTTACCTCTGCTCACAGAAAACACAGAGGACGAGCTCTGGGTTTTCTGCATCCACTGAAGCAAAAATAAACATTTACATGAGTTTACTGAAAAACACTTAAGTAAAAGTGTGGAGTGGAGAACACTGCAGTAGAGCTCATCCTTCACCTGCTGTAGTCTTGGTATCTTCATTAGAAATACTTTAACCATGTGGTTTGTTTCTTTTAGTTGAAATATTTTTGACTTTTGGATGGCCTGGGAATTTTCTCATGACAGATCCACTGTATCTTTCTGAGACTGACTCACTGTGATTAGCAAATACATTTAAAACGAGCGTAAAAGGACAACACATGTGACATTCTGCTGTTCACCAGGTTAACTTGAGGTGTGCACTAAAGTTTAGCCACATTTGGCTTAATGTACAGAAACTTTCTGATGTGTACAGAATAAAATCAACACCTCAGTGCAAATAAATGTAATTTTTTTACCTGATATGTAGCGTGCTCTGCAAACACCAGCACTGCTTTGTCTTTGCCCTCTGTTCATCGTGTTCATCATTACCACTGGTAATTGTGCAGGAAAAGTTTCAGATTTGCGGAATTTCAAATATGGAACTCTGCTCCAAATTCACCCATCTTCACCTTATTCCAGAAGTTTCTGTGAGCACAAACCATCATCGTGTGGGTTGTATTATTTTGTGTGGGGCTGCTGATCCTAACAGTGAATAAGCCTCCAGAGAATCAGTGACTTGTTGGTGCACATGAAACTGAACATTTTAAACAAAAGAACCGACTTACTCATACTGAAGATGCAAAACGTTTCCCAAATTCTCCATTGACAGAAGTGCCACCACAAAAAATGTCCAGTATAATTTGGTTTCTTTTCCTGTTTCAGACATGACTGGCCCAGGGGAGGGCGCAGAAGACGACACTCAAAGAACTCCCGCCTTTCATGGAAAAGTCTGTCCTCTTCTAAACTGCTGTAAGTGACTTATTCTGCTTCCACTGTGATAAAGTTACTGCTGCTGTTCAGTCTAAAGTGTTTAGGATCAAGCAGTTAATAATTATTAGAAAAATCATGTTTTTTTATTCATATTGAGACATAAAATAGTTTTCTTACACAATTCAAACCTGTTAGATTAGTTGATTATTTGAATATCTAATCAGGTTTAATCTGATGCACAAAGCTGCATCAGTGACAAAAACAATGCACATAAATGTAAAACATGGAGCACAAACAGCTCTGTGCTCCCCTCATGAGTCTCTTAACTCTAAACTAAACTCTAAACTCTAAAACTCAGTGTGATTTCCCTGTACACATCACTGCCCTTCCACATGACGGAGCGATACACCAGTGTGGCCAGAAGAGGGCAGTACTCATCGTCATTTTGTGGGTCTATTATAACCTGCTGTTTTTCTGTTTACAGACGCTGGTCCAGAGTTTGGAGTCTTTGGTGACCCTAGGCGACGGCCTAGTGGACGCTAAGTCCTAGGCGACGGCCTAGTGGACGCTCAGTCCTAGGCGACGGCCTAGTGGACCTCAGTCCTAGGCGACGGCCTAGTGGACGCTCAGTCCTAGGCGACGGCCTAGTGGACGCTCAGTCCTAGGCGACGGCCTAGTGGACCTAAGTCCTAGGCGACAACCTAGTGGACCTCAGTCCTAGCGACGGCCTAGTGGACGCTCAGTCCCAGGCGACGGCCTAGTGGACGCTAAGTAGTGAGGTCTAGGCGACAACCTAGTGGACGCTCAGTCCTAGGCGACGGCCTAGTGAATTGTGAAACCTCAAACCTAGGCGACGGCCTAGCGGACTCTATCTCCTGGACGACGGCCTTAAGTGACTTTCCCCCTCCAGAAAGTTACATACTATTGCTTTAATGTTTTTGACTCCCGCGTGCTCCACTTGCAATCATCTGTTTTTAATGTTTTCTTAAATCAGAATGACTTAGTCGTTACCTTTTTGATTAAACTGTATTTGTTTTTTAAACTGTGCATTGCTTTTGCCTACAACCTGCAATAAAATGATTCAATCAAAATCGTGTCTTTATTGTAGTACTTGTGCTTTAGTGATATAACGATAAAGTTTAGTGTCTGTTACATCATCTCTTCATTAAAGGGCCCAGATTAAACCATTTTATATTTCTGTTCTAATGTTTCCTCATCACAAACAGACCTGGAGTTGTGTTTTGTTTCACATGTTTAACACACAAACCTGCACATTTAGGCCGAGTTCTTCTCTCAGACAGAAAACACTGTGTTCCACCATGTGATGTCATGTGGTAATACAGAAGCGCTCCATTGTGTTTTTAAACTCCTCACATCTTCACACAGACCTGGAACTTGGCTGATAGAAACAGTGTGTCATTCGTTCATTCGTTTTTCAAAATAAAATGAAAAAATAAAACGAAAAAACAACTATTTTCTTCATTTTGTCTCCAAAACTAAATGAAAAAACAGATAGTGATTCGTTGCTGTTGTCGATTTTGTGTTTAAATGAAAAATGGAAAAAACTGATAATGGACTGAACCAGGACTAAACCAGGACTAAAACAGGAATAAAACAGGACTAAACCAGGACAAACAGGACTAAACCAGGGCTAAACCCTTTTTAGTCCTGGTCTGGTCCCAGTCTAGTCCTGGTCTCTGTCCCGATCTGGTCCTGGACCTGGTGGAGACCTGGTTCAGTCCTGGTTTAGTCCTGGTTCAGTCCTGGTTCAGTTCTGGTTTAGTCCTGGCTTTTAGTTCTGGTTTAGTCCTGGTTTTTGGTTTTATTTTGAAAAACAAATGAACGAGCGACACACACGGATTATCGTGGAGTTTAAAAAACGTCTTCAGTTTGAGACAAGAACTCGGGGTTTTTGTTTGTGTTAAATTTGTGAACGAAACAAAAAACAGAAAAGAAAAAAAACAACAAACAAACACAAAACTTTTCCTTCTCCAGTCGTTTATTTGAACAGGTGCCTTTGTAAAGACATTCAAGTTTACATTTTAACAGAGAAACAAAACACTGTACAACGACTTTAAACTCTTCAAACTACACGTCACAGGTAACAGAACGTCAGCAGGTCCTCAACAAAACTAAAAAACAACGATTTATTTACGCTCCTTCTGAACCACTTCCCGTTTTGAAATATAAATGACATGAACCGGCTGCGTTTTGGGCTGTAACAGAGTGAAACATTCAGATTTTTAGTGAAAATTTAAGGCACAAGAGTAATTTTTAATTAGATTTTACCTTTAAATCGTAGTAGTTTTTCGTCTTTTTAATTGTTTTTTTTCTGTAAAGAAGTGGAGCGGGGCGACGGTGGCGCAGTGAGTTAAGCGTGTGCCCAAGAGTGAATCATTTGCCCCAGTGTCAGAAATTCAACTTGGATCATATTTTAAAATGTGACAAAACCAGTTAAAATAAAATCTGTGGAATATTTGTTCAATTGAATAAAATCCACTGGGTCCACCGAGACTCTTAAGTTCCATCAGGGTTGGGGAGTAACAGACCTTTTGTTTTTTGTTTTTTTCCTCGGTAATTCCACTTATTGCCGGACACTAAACCAGGTCTAAACTAGGTCTAAAACCAGGTCTAAACTAGGTCTAAACCAGGACTAAAACAGGATTTAACAGGACTGTAACTATAATAACTATTTTCTTCATTATTTGTCTCCAAAACCAAAATGAAAAAACAGATAATGATTTGTTTTTTCAGTTTTTGATTTTGTGTTTAAATGAAAAATGGAATAAAAAGGATAATGACTTCGTGACTGTGATGCTGGACTTTTGCGCCGCATATGGACTGAACCAGGATTGAATCAGACCTAAAACAGGATTAAATCAGGACTAAACTGTTTTCAGTCCTGGTTTAGTCCTAGTCTCAGTCATGGTCTCAGTCCCGGTCCTGCATCTGATTTAGTCCCGGTCTGGTCCCGACCTCAGTCCTGGTCTGGTCCCAGTCTCAATCCTGGTCTCAGTCCTGGTCCTGTTTTAGTCCCGGTCTAGTGCCAGTCTGGTCCCAGTCTCAATCCTGGTCTCAGTCTCGGTCCTGGTCCCGGACCTGGTTCAGTCCTGGTTCAGTCCTGGTTCAGTCCTGGTTCAGTCCGGCATCGCAGTTTTAGTCATGAAAACGAGAAACGGTTGTTTTTCTGTCTTTTCCCGTTTTTCATATAAATTCATATTCGCTGCTTCGTTTTATTTGCCGCAGGATTCAAAGTAGCGGCTTATCGTCCGGAATTTATGGAACCTGTATTCAAGATTTTACTTTTCACAGTTTCAAGTCTTTGAGTTTTAAATTTGTTGATTTCAAGTTGCATATCGTGTTGTCGGCCGAACAATTGTTACAATTCAGGACCTGTTGTTTATTCAAGGTCCTTGAAGTGCTGATAAAACTGGAACCAAATGATACGGAAAGTCCATATTTATATTCAACTTCTACTGATACTTTAGGGCTAAATTAATCATTTTTGATGTTATAAAAAAATCAGATTTAAGGCTCCCACAGACACTAAACTTCAGAGTCTCGGTGGACGCTGTAAACATCAAGAGAATTTCATGAAATTTCTTGTGGAACTTTACTTTGGCAAGTGTAAAAAATGTATTGTAGGTGCAGACAGATTTTCAAAAAATGTTCAAAAAGTTGGACAAATGATGCACCCATCAACGTGAGGGTCTGCGGTTCAAACCCCGAACAGCCACAGTTAAGTTGTCTCCTTGAGCAAGACGCTTCACTTCGCTCACACTGCCCAGTGTCAAATCACCTATGAAAATTATCTCCTTTTTGATTTTTTGTGATAATTTCTGACAAAAATAAAATTGAAAGCGAAATTGAGTGTAAATGTGTGTATTTTTTACATTTCTTCAGTGTTTTTACTTTGGTTGAATTCAAGTTTATAAAGCAGTTAAAATTAGTTTTCAAGTTTTCTAGTTTCGGTCTATGAACTAGTCCGAGGTTCATACCAATAATTTTTAAATAAATGTTTTTTAAGAGCTTTTTTTGTGTACAGTACTTTTACTTCTTTAATAACTAGGGATGTAACGATATCCAAATCACGATATGCATCTCACGGTATGATTTTTGAACTAAAAACTAAGGTTTAAAAGTGCTTAGAACTGTTATTTCTTCATGTAGTCTGCGCAGAAACGAAGCAAAGGATCATGGTCTATGTAGTTCCCTCTGTTTTAACTATTAAATTAAGCAAAGAGACTTGTGATTCGATACATTTGCGATGGTCCACGCGTTCTACAACAGTAAAGTGTAACATAAAACAAATATGAGAGAAATTAAACATAATTCTGACCTGTTTTTGCTACTGAACATTTGTAAATATTGATAAAACTGTAGGGATGGGACGAGATCTTGTGTGATTTTTGTTGTTGTTTACATTTACGTCTCTTTAACGGTTCCAAAAAACAGAACCAGAGCGGAAACAAAACTGTGAAATCATAAAAAATGTTGAGTCCAAAACCGGAAACTGAAAAAAAACTTATAAATTAGGAATTATATTAAACTCTGGTCTCCTTCTCATGGACACAATCTCTCAAATTTGGGACGAAACTGGGACTAAACCAGGACTAGACCAAGACTACACCAAGGACTGGACCAGGATTGAACCAAGACTAGACCACGATTAGACCCAAAATGGACCAAGGACCTGACCAGGACTCGACCAGAAGTAGACTGGGACTAGACCAGGGCTGGACCAAGGACTGGACCAAGCCTGGACAACGATTAGACCACGATTAGACCAGGACTGAACCAGGACTCGACCAGGACTAGGCCAGAACTAGGCCAGGACGGGACCACAATTAAACCCAAAATGGGTCAAGGACTCGTCCAGGACTAGACTAAGAACTGGACCAGAAGGTGACCAGGACTGGACCAGGACCAGGACTGGACCAAGAACTGGATCAGGACTGGACCAAGAACTGGATCAGGACTGGACCAAGACTGGACCATGATTAGAGCAGGACACGACCAAGGACTCGACCAGGACTAGGTCAGGAGTCAAACAAGGACTCGACCAGAACTGGACCAGGACTAGACCAGCACTAAACCAGGACTCAACCAAGGATTCGACCAAGGACGTGACCAAGGACTCAACCAGTAATCGAACAAGAACTGGACTAAGTCTGAACCACGATTAGACCAGAACTCGACCAAGGACTCGACCAAGGACTCAACCAGGACTGGAGAAGAAGTAGACCAGTACTAGACCAGAACTAGACCAAGACTAGACCAAGTATCTCATCTGATCTTGAGGAAATTGTGTCTCGTTAGGAATTATATTAAAACCTTGTCTAGTCTCTCGCTCAAATTTGGGACTAAACTGGGACCAAAGAATCGACCAAGGACTCAACCAGAAGTCGAACAAGAACTGGACCAAGTCTGAACCACGATTAAACCAGAACTGGACCAAGGACTAGACCAGGACTGGAAAATAAGTACATTTTGTCTCGTCCCATCCCTATAAAACAGTAAACTAAAACCTTAAATACTGAAAATCGGTAAAATGATTCATTCAAATTAAATATGTGTGTTTTTCTATACAAATACAAAACGTGCAGAAACTGTCTTTGCTACAACATTTTCATCTGTACAAAAATAACTTTCTCTCAAACGCAGACGTCGTAAATCAAACCCCCCGGCGCCGCGTGTGTACGTGAACGCGGTGAAGCGGCGAAACGCGGCCGCGGAGCTAAAACGACATGACTGTCCGGGTGATGATGTCGAGGCAGTTCCGCATCTCGGACTCGGAGATGGTGAGGGGCGGGGCGAAGCGGATGATGTCGCCGTGGGTGGGTTTGGCCAGGAGCCCGTTGTCGCGGAGACGGAGACACACCTTCCACGCGTCGTAATCTGAAAACAACAGAGGTCACGGTGAGTGTAAGTAAAGTTTTGATTTTTTCTGTCTTAAAAAAGTAAAAAAAAAAAAAAAAAAGTCTGCAGTTTCCAAAGTTCTTCTTCACTTCCCTCCTGCGTTCAGAGCGTCGCAATTATTCACCACGATGAGTTTATAAACACTTTTCACAACTTTCAAAAACCAGAGCGAATTTTTGTCATCATGATAACAACAACTAGCATGCTAACCACACTTATATTGTATTGTTTAATGTGATAATACAGTTTTGATATATAGTATAAGGCTGAGACTTTTTTATTAATTATTTTTCTATTTTATTTTAACCTGTACATTTGGGCCAAGCAGAAGTAAACAACAAGGCCAAAAATTCAACTTAATTCATCTGATATAAAAATGTATTGAACAGATACATATGTGCTCTACTTTATGAAACTGTTGACCTTTTTTCTGTTCCATTTTTGGTTCTAAAGTTACATACATTTTAAACAGACCATGTATGAAACATGGAACAAAAATTATTTCCCAAATTTCAAAGACCTGCAAATCATGTAAATAAATGGATGTATTTCATCATATCTTGTGTTATTCCATCTTTGAACTGTTGATGAAGGGACAGGATTTATTATTTTTTTTTAATGTATTTAAAATGATAAAAATGTTCTTGGAAGGACTGACATATTTTATAGAAATAGTTTCCTTTCATTTTGAAGTAATATTAAAGTATTCAGAAGAAAAAAGTGACAAATGATGTAAAATCCTGCACCTTCTACTTGTTTGCACAATTTTCCCTCCGTTACTTTTCCCTCCGTTACCATGAACTTTCTTAATAAAAAATTTCATGAGTCAAAAAGTCAGAGGTTTTTCAACCTAATCTTGTACCATATGGTAGAAAACTATATGACGCAAATATTCAAACCAGTTTGTTAAGGATATGTAAGTGAGAGGTCAGTTTTTCTAGTTTTTCTAGCTATTTTTGACCTGTCTCATACTGTGGAACATTCCAGGCAGAGCAATGACATCTCCATAGAAACATGAAGGTGACAGACCCCCAAAAGGGAAAGTGCACCTTGATGATCCTCAAAAGTTCAACCTTCTTATTATTTGTCTGGGATCGCCCCCACAAGTTTAACAAACATATTAATCTTATGGCATAAAGCTGCACTGTGTAACTTTTTGGTTGGGGGGGTCCATCACCTGCTTGTTTCTATGGAGATGTCATTGCTCAGCCTGGAATGTTCCACAGTGTGACATTAAACAGCTCTACTTTACATGTATTCAATAGCTCAAAAACGCCAAGAAAATCATTCTTCCTGTGAGCGGGGTCGCCTCTCCACAGATCTGACCTGTAACTCGGTCCGGTTTGGTCTCCATAAAAATAGAAAGGTTTAAAGCCATAGTGTGGGACATTCCAGACAAAGCAATCACATCTGGATGGAGAAAAGCGTTTCACGGACGCTCCACTAGAAAAGTGAAAAGTGACACGACGCAGCTTCAAACTCCTTTCAACCGGCAACAATCACGTCTTTGGGGTTGAATTCTGGCTCCACCTTCTGAACCAGCAGTTATTTTTTATTTTTATTCATTGCATTAAAAGTAGATTTGAGTTCACCTTTGGTCTCCTTGATGACGATGGCGTTGAGCAGACCTTTCCCTCTCACCGCCGTCACGATGTCCTTGGGCAGTTTGGTGAGCTCCGACCTCAGGAGCTGACCCATCCTCTCCGCGTTCTCCGCCAGACGCTCCTCCTCCAGAACCTGCGCAACGGAAACGGAAACGGCCTCAGCGTCTTTACACTCAAGTAAAAAAAAAGTTAAAACAATCTGAGCGAGAAGAACTGACTGAGCTGGAACTACAACAGATGAGCTGTGTTTTAGCGTTATTTAGGTCAATTTAATGCGCACACTTTTATTTTGAAATCTGTGCTTTTATTTTGGTACTCCACACCGGTCCGTGGAACCAGAAGTGTGAAAAATAAGGTAAAGAGGGAATAAAAACAAACTCATGCAGCTAAAAATCAAACTTAGTGCACCTCCTCCAGGAGCAGTGCCTGTGTGTAAACATTTGTACATTTAATCTGGGTAATTTCACGGGTGTATAAATTACTTAAAAACCAAATTGTAAAGTTAAAAAGACGTTGTGATGTTGTTTTTTTGTATCATGCAGCCTCATATAATCTGCTAATGATGAAAACAGATCTGTGATAAGTTAATTTATTTATTTTCATGTTAAAATAAACCAACTTTTACAGGTAATTTGTTGTAACTGCTTTACTAAAAGTGACTGAGCTCTCAATCAATATAGGCGAGTTTCATTGTTGACAAAAGCGCGCGTTGCATGCTGGGAATTATTTTGGTCAGCGGCAAGAAACACTAATTCAACATGATGGACGGAGCGAGAAAGCACGTAAAGCAGGGGTGTCAAACATACGGCCCAGGGGCCAGATCCGGCCCTCCAAGACCTTTAATCTGGCCCTCGGCTGATTTTCTACTAAAATATTTTAATTATATTTTCTATTAAAATCTTGTTAATTTTCTGTGGTGTTTATCACAGCAGCGTCTCTGTACGTGGCCCCTCCCACCAGAGCAGCACAAATGAAGACTTGTCTCTTTCCAAACGCTCTTAAAGGACGATCGTTTTGACTGTTGACCGTGACACCCTCATCAGAAAAATGTCCAACATGAGAAAAGTGGAGCCGAGTGCAGGATTTTACAACAAAAATGGACTTATTCCTGTTTACATACAAGTTCATGTTAAAACATTGTGTTGAAATTGTATTTTTCTTAAACTTTCAGGTTGTTCATAATATTATAATATTTTGTAAAAGAAAGAGTTCATCAATTAAAAAAGATTTCTGTAATAGATTTGTGTTTCTCTGCACAAATATTTGAACTTATTGTTATTTTTGGGGTTTATATGACATGAGTTTTCTGATCCGGACACTTTGAGATCAAAGTAGGTTGGATACGGCCCCTGGACCAAAATGAGTTTGACACCCCTGACGTAAAGGGTATTGATCCCAGTTATTTATCCACTCTAACGGCAGAGGACTGAAGACGATTTGACAAGAAATTGGTCATAAGCATTGATGGACGACAAATCACCCTTTTCAACCCCAAAGAGCCTGGACCAAACCAAATTTCTGGTCAGAATCACCAACTACCTGGACAAATATTCACTTGGGCGACATCCACAATGACTTGGTGGAAACTCCTGGGCCATTCACAGCAGAAAAGATGAAAACCTCCAAGAGTCTTGATGTGTTGTTGAACTTGTTGGAGTCCACGGTTTGTTAGGATCTTCTACATTTGCTCTGCGGATGTTTGAAAGCCGTTTAATTCACCGTTAGTCGGTTCTTTTCACTCAGAATACGGAAAAGACATTTTCCTTCTTCCGTGCTTCTATTTGTGCATCTGATAAAGCAGCAGGAATTTACCATTATCAGGGGATAAATACACGAGGTTACACACTGTGTTTGACCGTGTTTCTTGCCTCCGACCAAAATATTTCCCAGCAGCAACGCGGGCTTTTAATAACAATGACGTCAGCTGAAACTCGCCTATACATAAATATAATATAATATATAATCAATATACATGCACTGGAATGTGAAATTATTACAAGACATTGCTGATTGTATTTTTGTATTTTTCTCTTGCATTGTTTTTTTTCTCAGGCTGATCACACGCTCCTGAAAATGTGCTCTTTAAACCCATTTTGTCCAAATCCACTTTATTTCTGAAAAACTGCTAAAGCCAGATTGTGACTGTAATGTTATTTTAGAGGAACAGCACAGATCAGATCACCTGTTGTAGTTCAGTTCAGTCTGTTCTTTCTGGTCAGATTGTGTTGAAACAAACTCCTGGTCAGACGGTGCTTGTAGTTGATGTGACTCACCTCCAGGGCGGCGATGGCGACCCGACAGGCCACGGGGTTTCCTCCGAACGTGGAGCCGTGTTCTCCGGGTTTAATGGTCAACATGATCTCGTCATCGCACAGCACCGCAGACACCTGCAGGGGGCGACAGAGGCCGGGGGGAGTGAGTCTATGAACATTTACTGACTAAACAACTAACAAAACATCTGAGTTTTACTGAGCTCCTGTTTGATTTTAACCTTTAACACTTAGACTTAGACAAACTTTACTGATCCACAAGGAAAATGATTTGGACACAGTAGCTCACTCATCACAATATAATATAATAACAAAGAGAAAAAATATAAATGGAAGCAAAAAGAAAATAAAAGAAGCACTACGTAACTTTTCTAGTGAGTGTCTTGCCCATGGACACAAAAGAACTGAATTTTCTGGCACTCACCTCCTGTTATTACTCTACCTCAGTGGTACTACAGTAAAAGTACAATACCTAAGCACAATTTTTAAAAATCTAAAATAAATAGAATTGAAAATGTTACAATGGATACTTGAACTTTACTGCATGAGAGAGCAGGGATCTGTACTTTTATTAAATTTAAAGTCATTTTCTTTACCAGTTTCAAACCATCTGAAATGTCTGACTTTAATAAACTGTATTTAATGAGTGTGTTCTCACAGGGTAGACTCCTCCGGACAGGGCCTTCCCCAGAGTGATGATGTCCGGGCGAACGTTCTCGTGGTCCACCGCCAAACGCCGTCCGGTTCGCGCCAAACCGGTCTGCACCTCGTCTGCGATCCACAAAACCTGAGACACAGAGACAAACTGTTACTCTCCACACAGGAAATACATTTATATAACAAACACAAGGAATTATATTTTTATAGACTGGAGACAGGCAGAATTCTCAGGTGGAGTTTGCTGTGGACCTGTCAGGCGCAGATTTGTTGACCTGGTTTATAGTTCATATATCAGGGTTCCCACTCTTTTTAGCTGACAAAATTTCAAAACTTTTTCATGACCTAAAGTGAATTTTCCATGACTTTACAGCACCTACTGTATGTGTGTAGAATTGAGCATACTTTTATAGCCAGGCTGGCGCCATCTAGTGCCTCCGCTCAATTTCATTTGTCAGGAATCAGAATACACTAGACGGTTTGCAAGAAGCCCAGAAGTTGTAGACCGAGCACTGTCCAATCAGCTGTGAAGTCGTGACGTCGAACTCGTGGCATCTGTCTGTGTCCCTTTTGTGGAACAGCACAACAGTAAACAAAGCGTCGAGATGGACGTAGACGAAGACAGACATTCTGTGTTGGCAACGATTCCCGAGATCGAGGATTTAAACCCGGAACAAAGAGAATGTTTGATGAATTTTATCAAGAGGAAAGACGTTATTGTCCTTCTTCCTACAGGATTTGGTGCATTACATACGTCACGACCAAACAGCAGTGATTGGTTAAATAAAAAAAGTACCCGCCTACTGTCGAGCGAACGAATCCTAATGCTGCGAGGTCAGACTGATGAATCAGGCTAATACTTTTAGGGCTAAATCTGAAATGTTAACCCTTTCCACTCACTTTATGGTTTGGGATTATAGTTTTTAACAGTGCATTTATTGTCGTCTCTTTTAAACAAAAGGCGCAGACGTTCAGAAATAATCATAATAGTCTAATGATAATTTAACAGAACAGTGTAGTTGCATGAAAGAAACACTAAAATTCCATGATTTTTCCAAAACTTTCATTCAATTTGACAAAATTCCATGACTTTTCCAGGCCTGAAAAATGACCATTTCAATTTCCATGACATTTCCAGGATTTGCATGACCGTGGGAACCCTGATATCTCTGTAATTCCTGAGCCTATCCACATGGAACAAAAACTGCCACTGGTTTTCTCTGTCAGAAAAAAATAAATAAAGATTTTTTTAACAGTATCTTCAAAAAGCGGTGCCTTTATCCAAACCCCAAACCCTGTGAGTGTTGTCAACTGAAAGGACTTTAAACCATAAGATTAATATGGCAGGTTTATGGGGCACAGATGGATTTAGGAGGGTGGGAGGGCATCTGATACTCTGTACTTGTTTAAACTTGTCTTGGTTGAGTTACATAACATCAGACAGTTAGAGGGATTTGCTTAAAGTTTTACCAAAGACTGAGAATCAGACAGAATCAGTTACAGTTTAAGACTCCAGACTTCAGACTGTGAATCATCACATTTTGACCTTGGGCCGATCTGCTCAGTCTGTGGAGCGAGTAAAAGCACTCGGATCAAGAATTTATACTTTTACCTCTACATTTATGTCTATGGCAGAATGTTCATCGGTTACCGTGGAAAAGTTTTTAAGTTTTAAGTCTGAAATCTCAAAAAAAAAAAAAAAAAAGCCCTGATGTCTATGTTGGTCAGAAGGTTTATTCTCTGCTCCACCAGGGGGCGTCGTCCTCAAGGTTTACAGTACCACAGGTGAAAGAAAACACCACAGGTTGATGCACTAGAAGAACTCTTATTGTGCTTGATGTCTTTCAGAATAAAAGCTTGTGTTATTATAGTTTTATTTTGTAGTTCAGACTCACATTATGTTTGGTGTTTTTCAAAATAAAACCGTATTATTATTGTTTTATTTTGAAGTTCAGACTCAAGTTGATTTTGGTCTTTTTCAGAATAAAAGCTTGTGATATTACTGTTTTACTTTTGAAGTTCAGATTCACATTTATTTGGTGTTTTTTCAAAATAAAACAATAATAACACAGGGTTTTTATTTTCAGTTCAGATTCACCTGCTTGATGTTTTTCAGAATAAAAGCCTGTGTTATTATTGTTTTATTTTGAAGTTCAGACTCATGTTGATTTTGGTCTTTTTCAGAATAAAAGCCTGTATTATTATCATTTTATTTTGAAGTTCAGACTCAAGTTGTGCTTGGTGTTTTTCAGAATAAACCTTGGGTTATTATACTTTTATTTTGAAAGTTCAGACTCACGTTGTGCTTGATGTTTTTCAAAATAAAAGCCTGTGTTATTATAGTTTTACTTTGAAGTTCAGATTCACATTTATTTGGTGTTTTTCAAAATAAAACCCTGTGTTATTATAGTTTTATTTTGAAGTCCAGGCTCACGTTGTGTTTTATATTTTTCAGAACAAAACAATGTATTATTATCATTTTATTTTGAGGTTCAAACTCACGTTGTGCTTGGTGTTTTTCAGAATAAGACCTTGGGTTATTATACTTTTATTTTGAGGTTCAGACTCACGTTGTGCTTGGTGTTTTTCAGAATAAAAGCCTGTATTATTATAGTTTTATTTTGTAGTTCAGACTCACGTTGTGCTTGGTGCAGAGCTCTCGGACTTTGGTGAGGTATCCCGGGTCTGGCACCACAACTCCGGCCTCTCCCTGGATCGGCTCCACCATAAACGCCGCCACGTTTGGGTCCTGGAGCGCTTTCTGAGAGACGGGACAGAAACAGTCAGACTATTACTGCGCTCTGGAGGACTAAAGAGGAGACGGAGGGTGGAGAAGGGGCAGGTGACGATCCCCTGACCAAAAAGTGACATAGTGCAGGTTTAAAGTGTCTGTAGTAAACATTATGTTACCTCCAGAGCAGGGATGTCGTTGTACGGGATGAGCTCAAACCCGGGCATGTACGGACCGAAGCCCTCGTAGCTGCTCGGGTCGGTGGAGCTGGAGATCGCCGCCAACGTTCTGCCCCAGAAGTTTCCATCTTTAAACACAAAAAAATGTTTTTAGTGTTTAATTGTTTGAGATCTTTAGAGCTGCGATAATAAGCTAATAGAAAAATACCTTTATATAACAAAACTGGAGAATTATTATCAAATCAAAATGTCAAAAAAAAAAAAAAAAAAAACACTTTTTTTTAACATTATTACACTCATTTCAGTCATGTTGTATTTCAACATTTATTTGGTAAAAAAGTAATTGTTGACTAGTCAATTACAAGATAAAAAGCTATAGATTGTTAATCGTGTATCATTTGTTCATTCGTTTTTCAAAATAAAACCATAAATAAAAAATGGAAAAAAACAACTATTTTCATTATTATTTGTCTCCAACCAAAACGAAAAAATTAATAACAATTCGGGTTTTTTTTTCAGTTTTCAATTTTGTGTTTAAATGAATACGGACTGACCCCAGGACTAAATCAAGTCTAAACCAGGACTAAACCGGTCTCAGTCCTGGTCTGGTCCCCATCTCAGTTCCAGTCTGGTCCTAGTTTGGTCCTAGTCTCAGTCCCGGTCTCAGTCCTGATCATCTGACAGTCTACGCGGGCCACCTCTGGGCCCATCCCAACACTCAGTCCTGGTTCAGTCCTGGTTTAAACCTGATTTAGTCCTGTTTTAGTCCTGGTTCAGTCTGTATGCGGCTCAAAAAGTCCGGTATCACAGTTTAAGTCACGGAAGTCATTTTTCATTTAAACACAAAAACGAAAACTGAAAAAATGAGTCATTATCGTTTTTTTCCTTTTGGTTTTGGAGACAAATAATGAAGAAAATAGTTGTTTTCTTATTTTTCGTTTTATTTTGAAAAACAAATAAACAAATGATACACGGATTATTGTTTATTAATCCTGAGGTAAATTGCAGTGCAGAGTCTTAGGTACTTTCACAACTGAACCTGCAGCTAGAAGACACATACAGTACAAGACTTTTCTCATTCTCTCATTCTCAGTGCATCATGTGAAGCTCAGAACTCCCAGAATTCCCTCCCTGAGCTGCAGAGGCTGCACTAGCACTGACTCAGGCCTGGTACAGGAGCTGGGGTTTAGGTAGAGACCGTTCAGATAGAGATAGAGAGAGGCTTTTTAGGTTTAAACCAGCTGAATTTCAGCATTGGATTATAATATGCCTGTGTAAAATGTAAAATGTGGTTCTTACTTGCAAATATGATCTTGGCCTGGTTCTTGGGGACGCCCTTCACGGTGTAGGCCCATTTACGAGCCAGTTTACAGGCTGTTTCTCCGGCTTCCACCCCTGAAACAAAACACCACACACATATAAATAAAAAAAAAAAAAAAAACATCTGAAATCTAAAAATCTGTGATGAAAGAAGTGCTAAATTTTGTTATTTAAGTAAAAGTACAGACACCAGAACACAAATACTCAAGAAAAAGTAAGAGTATCACATGAAAAAATTTACTGAAGTATTAAAGTACCTGTATTTTTCAGCGTAAAAGTATTTCACATGGAGTTTGAGTTCTATTAAAGCTTCAAATGTAGTGACTTTGATAACAGATTTGTGCTGAATTTTGAAACAACTGAAGAACTAGAGTTAGAATATCTGCTTTTATTTGCATATTTTTGTTTGTTCAAACTACAAACATGTTCAAAATAAACACTCGGCCTGTTCAGCTGGTCTTAAATTATCAAAAAACTTACTTTTAATTTTCAGTCCTGTTCAAAAATGTAGTGGAGCTCTCAAACGTAAAGAAGCTGTGCAATTAATCGAATTTTGATCGTGATTTCAATTTGTGTGTCAAACAATCTCCAAACTCATATAATCGAGCTGAAACGATTGAAGCTTAAAGTTTATTTTCTGATATTTTTATATAAATAAGAATATTTATTTAATTTTTTAAATATAGAGATTGTAGAACAGCTGGATTTATAGTTTATTTTGGATCCATTTATGTTTTTCTATGCCTTATTTCATGTTCAAAGTTTATTTTATTCTTTTTTATTTTATTTTATACATCGCAAAACTGCTCTGAGGTTCATTTGGAGCCTATATTTATTTTCAATTTGAATGTTTTGCATAAATTATCAATAACAAAGTGTTTTTTTGAGAGAGAAATGCTGAATAAATGCATCATGATTTAAATACCCTTAGAGATAGGGTGAGGAGCTCAGTCACACGGGAGGAGCTCGGAGTAGAGCCGCTGCTCCTCCACGTCGAGAGGAGCCAGTTGAGGCTCGGGCATCTGTTCCGGATGCCTCCTGGGCGCCTCCCTCGGGAGGTGTTCCGGGCATGTCCCACCGGGAGGAGGCCACGGAGAAGACCCAGGACACGCTGGAGGGACTATGTCTCTCGGCTGGCCTGGGAACGCCTCGGGGTCCCCCCGGAGGAGCTGGAGGACGTGTCTGGGGTGAAGGAAGTCTGGGAGTCCCTGCTTAGGCTGCTGCCCCCGCGACCCGGCCCCGGATAAGCGGACGAAAATGGATGGATGGATGGATGGATGATTTAAATATTGTCCAAAATAATCGCGATAATAATTTCGAGCAGCCCTAACTTAAACAAAGTACCTAAAAATCATACTTTAGTACATTACTTTACTACTTTTACTTTTTTTTTTACATTAGCCTGATGAGCCAGACCCTCCTCTGTGTTGAAAACATTGTGGTGTAAGACTTTGTCATTCCAAACTCATGCAAAAAACATCTCCTCTTGAATTTATTTATTTTTGTATCTTTCAGAACAAAATATGTAACTTCTTTTTTCTCAGATTTACAGATTTTAGAGCTTTGTTTGTTGATTCTGCACAAATCAGGGCCTTTTTCTCAGTCGTCTTTGTCACAATTTTTTCTCTCTTCTTTATAAATATCCATGTTTGTTTTGATACACACTGTGCATTTGTAAAACTGGTTAACCACACCCAAAAACAAGGACTGTGAGGTTTTCAGGGGAGAAATTCTATTGTGCTGTGATTAAGATTAGAACAGAACATTGTAAATAACTCCCGGAGCGTTCACATTTGAGAGACTGAAATTTGAACCGATTAAAAAATTCAAGACTCTCAGGCATTTCAGAACAAGTTTGTAGAAGTCTAAACTACAAGTACAACCACAGACTTTACATTGAAAAACTGTCTCCACTTATTTTGGTATTTTAGTCAATTTCTTTAGACAGTCTCTGGGTACAGCAGGATTCTTTTATACAAATAATTGCAGCCTTATGATTTGAAAATTTCACGAACTCAAATTGCTATTTCGATTTGATAAAGATGTACAGCGCCGCCTTTAATGCCTGAGATCCAGAATACACGCTTCTAAAACTTTACGAATATGTGGGTCTGGTCACTGGTGAATCTCTCGAGTTCAGAGGGATGTGATTGACAGGTGGATTAGCCAATCAGAGACACACGTGGTCCATCTGTATCAAAACAAATATGGCTGCATTCAAGAAAGGAAAAAATATGACAGGGGACTGAGAAACATGGCAGGATTCAGCAGAAAACGACGATGAGCGAAGCACTAAACTGAGAAATGTGATTTTGTTTCTAAATGATATGGGACCAATGAGCTCATTCGTTTCACACATGTCACTGAAATAAAGAAATCTGATTGGACGATGACACTTAATTCTAACTGTGAGCTCTGAGTGTGACCAGACTGACGTGAATCTGTTTAAAAAATATAAATCTGCCCCTGCCTTTCAAAAGCTGAACAAGAACTAAGAACTTGTCGTGTCATGAAGCTGCAGTCTGAGTTAATAGCTCCTTTTTATTTTTAGTTCAGTAGAGATCAGCAATTCCAGGGCTTAAATCATTCAAATGATTCTAGTGAACGTGTATGGAGTTTAAAAACACAGTGGAGCACTTCCTGTATTACCACAAGGATTAAAAGACATGGTGTATTTCTGCAGAATCAATAAGGAAAACGTTAAAATCTTCACTTTCTGTTCATCTGAGGAGAAAGAAATGTTATTTTATTTCTAAATGAATTATTTCTAAATTTCACGTGTCCCTGAAATAAACAAATCTGATTGGACGATCACATTTAGTTCTAACTTTAACCAGACTGACATGAATCTGCATGAAAAGGAAATGGTTATTTTAATACAGTACTTTTCCACCTTCAATCTTTACGTCAAGAAAGGCTTAACTCTTAAATCTATCAGAAAATGACTTAAATGTGTGAAATTAGAGTGAAATTATTTGTCCATGCAACAAGATCATTTTACTTGACAATTTATCTTTAAATAAACGACCTCTACACTAGAATGAAGCATCTCAGAACTAGTAAGTAGATAATAAATGGGCCCAGTCAAGCAGAAGTAAACAACAAGGCCAAAAATTCAAGTTAATGCATCTGATATAAAAATGTATTGAACAGATACATATGTACTCTAGTTTATGAAACTGTTGACCTTTTTTCTGTACCATTTTTGGTTCTAAAGTTACATATGTTTTAAACAGACCATGTATGAAACATGGAACAAAAATTATTTCCCAAATTTCAAAGACCTGCAAATCATGTAAATAAATGGATGTATTTCATCATATCTTGTGTTATTCCATCTTTGAACTGTTGATGAAGGTACATGATTTTAAAAAAAAAAAAAAAATTTTAAATGATAAAAATTTGCTTGGAAGGACTGACATATTTTATAGAAATTGTTTCCTTTCATTTTGAAGTAATATTAAAGTATTCGGAAGAAAAAAGTTGACAAATGATGTAAAATCCTGCACCTTCTACTTGTTTGAACAGTTTTCCCTCCGTTACTTTTCCCTCCGTTACCATGAACCTTTCTTAATAAAAAAATCTCATGAGTCAAAAAGTAAGAGGTTTTTCAACCTAATCTTGTACCATATGGTAGAAAACTATATGAAGCAAATATTCAAACCAGTTTGTTAAGGATATGGAAGTGAGAACCAAGAGTTATCACTGTTTGGATTTATTGTCCAAAAAGTGCTGCATATTTCATTCCCTCCATTACAGACATGAGTTTTTTAATTTTTTGTCAACAACTTGAAAGAATATCACAGGTTTAACTTTACCCTGTTGGAGTGTAACTCTTTCCTACATTCTGATACTTTACTTATTTCAATAGTCCCTCTAGTTTCTGAATAAGAGACATTTGAATGTAAAAAATCTGCCCCTGTTTCCCTCCGTTACCACTTGACCGGACCCAAATCTGAAAACAAGATGAATAACCTGATATAACTTTTCAAATCTTGACCAGATCAGAGAAATTTGCAGTGCGGTCTGGGTGTTTTCCTCGGCACTGACCTGTGTTCATGGGCAGTACTTTGTCGTATCCGAACAGCGTGGTGATGAACTCCTCGTAGGCTCCCAGGACGTCGTTGTAAAAGGCTCTGGAGGTGAGCGTGAGTCTGGAGGCCTGAGCCGTCAGCGCCGACACGATCTTGGGGTGACAGTGGCCCTGGTTCACCGCACTGTACGCGCTCAGGAAGTCGTAGTAACGGTTCCCCTCCACGTCCCACACATGGATACCTGAACGAGACAACAGAATGTACAATATATACTTTGTTAGAGTTGTTATTGTTGTTGTGAGTTATCGTCACCTGCTTTTTTTTTATAGATACTGTTTGTCATTGTTCTGCCTGGAATGTTCCACAGTATGACATTCAAAAGCTATTAAACACCTCTCAAAGCTTTACTCTGCCCCTAAACAAAATCTGAAAAATCCTCCAGAGTGGACGGGGCCCGGCGGGTTGGGGCGGGCTCTGGAACGAGGCTTGACAGCCGACTGACAGCCACAACAATCCAACACGGCGCAGACAGGTGCACTCCCGAACTTTGAAACAGAGTGGACATTTGTGCCCTTTTCTCCAGACACGGCGGGACATGGCGCTGCCCGGCGGTGCCAGGTGTAGACGCCAGTGTCTGAGTTCGTCACGTAATAACCTGCGTCTGATTCATCGGCGCTGTTAGTCGAACCTGAAAACTCAAATGTTCTGGCCGTAGTTGATTCTAAAGAGGAAGTTACAGACACGACGTTTGACCCAAAAGTCACATTTTTAACCAATCTGCACTAAAATGCCAAAATAAGTCCAGGGACAGAGATGCACTTCTGTTTTAGACACAATTACACAGAGAATCAGGAGAAAAAAAAGTGATTTTGGTGTTTAGTTTAGTTTTTTTAAGCAGCTCTACTTTACATTTACTCAATTACTGTATTTTTTGGACTATCAGTCGCACTTTTTCATGGTTTGGGTGTTTCTTGCGACTTATATATTCAAATTTTCACACTGAAGCTGTGAGAGGTTCTAGTCTTGTGTGTGAGTATCTGCTGCTCCTGTTCCTCCTGTACCACTGTCACTTGGCTCTACTGCGCATGTCTGCTGCAGAAAGAGCCTCCGTCCTGTCTGTGTCATGTCAGTCGATCGCACCGTTACTTCTGTAACACTGAACAATTTAACATTTAAACAAACTTATAAAGACGACTGAGAAGACTGAACACAAACGCCCCCGAAAACTAAATTTGAGTTTGCAGATTACAAACTGCAAGTCGTGAAATCTGCAGCTGAAAACGATAATCGAGCAGCAGAAAGAAAGTTTGGAGTGAGAGAGAAACTTGTGACACCGGGAGGATGCACCATGAAACTTTCCTGAAGTCACTGGATGGATGGACAAAGTCTGGACTTCAGTGACACCGAAACCATCCTGTCAGGATTCAGAAAGACCCGAATAATTCTAACTGGAACTGATGCTGAGTCTGACGACAGCGACACAGAAGAGGAAGCGTCGCTCTGTTTACCTCCAAGGTCGAGGCCGAGTTGCTCAGAAGTGACACAGAGGATGAAGAACTGAATGGATTTAGTGATTTGGAGTGAGATGGAGAGTTTGTTAAACTTGTTCTGTTCTGTTGTTTATGTTATAGTTTATCTGAAGAACTGTTCATATGTGACGTTAACAGTCTGTTGTTCTCTCTTCTGTTGTTATTACTAGAGCTTGACTTTACACAGGAAATGTCGGTTCCTGGTCTCTGATTTTATACAATAAATTTTCCCCAAAAAGTGCGACTTATAGTCCGGAGCGAGTTATAATCCGAAAACTACAGTACATGGTTTTACAGCTCAAAAATACCTACAAAAACAGACATTCTGACTGTGAGCGGGGTCGCCTCTCCACAGATTTGACCTGTAACTTGGTCTGGTTTGGTCTCCATGAAGATAGAAAGGTTTAATGCCATACTGTGAAACCTTCCAGATGAAGCACTAACATCTCCAGGAAGAAAAGCGTCTGACGGACCCTCCACCAGAAAAGTTACACAGTGCAGCTTTAGTTGACGACTGTTGTGTGAGTCTCACCCTGTCCTCGCTCCAGAGCCACGGGGAGCGGGTGGTAGTTGTGGGCTCCGTACTTGTCCTCTCGGGCGAAGATGTCCTCTGAGGTGAGAGCGCCGCCCTGCAGTTTGGAGGCGGCAGTGGACGACGTGAGTTTGGAGCCGGAGTGAAGGAACCGAGGAAGAGACCGACCGAGCTGGAACACCGCGCGCTTCATGGTGAAAAATCTGCAAAACACAGAAGAACTGTCAATGTAAAGTCCGACTGATACTGTGCAGCCGATGGCATCAACATCCCCTGAGGGTGTGACGCTAACTGGAGGCACTGCTCTGTCTGAAGCTCGGTCACTAAAGGTAGACTTGAGTAACAAAGCTTCAGACAAACTTTATTTTAACACAATCTGGCCAGAAGGAAGTGACTTGGAATTACAAGAGGTGAGCTGATTTGGTCTGTTAAAAATCCCTCTCAAATAACATTACAGTCACAAGATAGCATTAGCATAAACCCTGAGGACAGGCGCAGTAACTTCAGAAATCTGAACCACGTCAATAAATCTGCAATCTGACAGTTTCACTGAAAATTCCACCTGAGAATTCTGACCTGTCTCAATAAAAGCTCCATATATAAATAAGTAAAAACACACATGGGCAGAGTAACTAAAGGTGCTTTTTAAACATGTCCCTGTTCTGATCTGAAATGTGCTGAGCCAAACTTTCCTTTCACTTTGGACAATGATGCAGCTGCCGTTTTAATCCCCGTGAGTTTAACCTTCCAGAGAGTTTAACCTTTGTGTTCAGTCTTTTGACTGAACGTTCATTCTGCTCAAAAACATTTACAGGACAAAGACTGAACAGTGGTGAATTTCAGCTCATAACTAAAAACCCAAATAACCCTGACCCTCAGTGGTTTGACCGAGCGTCCGCCAACCACAGATTGAGAATTGTCCCACTTGAAGCAGCATTCTTCTGTTGTGTCCTTAAGCAGGACACGTCACACATGTTGCCTAGTATGAAAGTGAGTGAGTGCTGATGGTGGTTGGTGGGACCTGTGGCATAGATTGGAATCTTGCTTCCATCAGTCTGCCCCAGGGCAGTTGTGGCTACAGCCCCCAGTTGTGGAGTGAGTAAATAATGCACAAAATTGTAAAGTGAAGTGTAAAGTGCATTATCTGAGTGACTACTGCAAAAAACTGTTTGTCCCATTTTGAGCACATTTCCAGTTCTGGAGTTTGATTCTTGTACTTTTCTCTACCACTGTTACTTTTTGAGGCGGATGCTGTTTGTAAAAACAAAATCTGAGAGTCGATAAACAAAGTCACAGTGACCCAGGAGAGAGACTCCTGAGCTAAAGTCAATATTGGCACAAGTCCTACAGCCACAGTTACATAACAGGTCTGTTGAGCAACTCATGTTAATATGACGTATTTAATGCTTCATGCAGAAACATGTATGACAGACTGAAACACGTCTCCATGGAAACTAGACCTTTAATGTTCCCATGTGGCTTTAAACTAGTTCAGTGAGTGAAAACTAAGTGAGTGAGTATTGACTGAGCATCAAAAACACAAATATAAACTGAAACAGTAAACAGATAAATAGATGAAATGTTTTTGTTGGAACTTCCTACTTCCTCCTTTAAAAATCTTTTTTTTGTGTGCATTATTTAATGTTTCATCCTGGTTTCTTTTTAGTCATACTTCAGTTATTACTGCTCTGTACTTCCAGTTGAGTAAAAGTATTTGTAACTGTACTTTTACTTTAGTACAATCTTATCTTATCTTCTCTACGGAAAACGACGCAAATCCGACGCAAATCCGCACTAAAAAAACGAGGTAATCAATAACCTGTAGTGCGCCGTGACTCTGGGCACAAAAAGCATCTGGTGTCGCCACGTAGTTTGGTGAAAGTCGCTGTCCCTGTGCTCCGTGCATGTGATAGGTCCAAACCCACTCACACCCACACGTATTACGACTCCTGTGGCTAAAATAAGACCCAAGAACTAATGCCAATTCTACATACAACCCATACACAATTAATACACAATTAATACAATTAATACACAACTCACACATCCACGTGGTCCTGCTGGAGACGCATTTGGTGACATTACACTTGTCCATCTGCAGGATTTTAAGGCTCAATGTGTAAAAAAAATCAAACTAATGTCACCTAATCTATATTATAAACAATTTGGTTCAACATTTGTGCATTTTAAATTCAATGTTTCTTTAGTAAAATAACGCGTAAAGAAAAAAAATGTCCCTTGTTCCAATTAATAGACGAACATGAAAATGAATTAATGCATTTTTTTATCGATTTCCAGCACGGTTACGGGAAAAATAATGACATTTATGTGGCGTTGCAGCGTTATTACACAGGTGTAACGTGAGAAGTACCTGCATAAATAATTGCTTAAGCGTTTTAAATTCAGTTAAGGGTTTTAAATGACACAAACCTCGCGCTGTTTCCACGCAAAGCTAACAGGCTAACATCAGTAGCATCCCTCATCGGCTTATTCCAACTGTGTATTAAATGCGTCCGGAGAGCGCGGCCGAGCAAAACGACTGGATTTATTACGTTAAATAAAAACGTGGGGTGTAATTGTAAGACACGGCGTGATTCGTACCTGTGTGTGGAGTTAAATTCGTGGTAAAAGTTCCTCAGGAGTCGGTGCATTCGTGGGGAAGCGCAGCGCGGAGATTTTATACGAAGCGTGACGCGTGCGGGGGTGTGCGTCATGACGTCACGGAATATGCTGCAATGTCGCTATAGGATTACTAAAGCGTAATGCACATGGATCTATACAGTGGAATGCGTTTGTAGATGACAGATATTTCATTACTAACAAAGTAAAATAAGTGTCCTTCAAACTTATCTACCCAACTAAAACTTTTATCAAAAATAGATTTAAGAAAAATATTGATTCTGAATGTAGCTTTTGTAAAGAATGTCCTGAAACTATTGTGCATCTGTTCTGGAACTGTCAAACTGTAGTAATTTTTTGGCAGAAATTGTGTGACTATATTCATAATTACATTGATAAACACTTTATTTTGCATTGGAAGAATGTATTGTTTGGCTTGTTTGATTCTCATTTACAAAAAAGTTTAATCTACCTAATTAATCTCTTATTATTAATGTCAAAGTCGTGTAAATTTTCTGGTAAAAGGCCAACCTTTGTTGCTTTCTATAATAGTTTCAGACAATACATTCTTTCTATTAAATTTTCTGAGACACAGAAGGCGTGATACTGTAGAAATCTGTACAGCTCTGAATGTTTTCACTTGAACTCTGACCCCCCCAGTGTGAAAGTAAAGAGTTTCCCCCTTTCCTTTCCTTTTATTTCCCCTCCTTTCTTTTTTATTATTACTTTACTTATTATTTATTTTATTTGTAAATTTTGTACGATGCAGTTCTTGAATGTAAAACACAGTTCTTTGTACACTGTATTATGTATACACTGCTTTATTTTTCTATAATAAATGGATCTATAATAAAACACTTTTCATTTTATTTTTATTTTTTTTATTTTATTATATTAATATTTTATTTTTTATTTTTTTTATTTATTATTATTATTATTTATATTTATATTTATATTTAATAATTATTTATATTTTATTTATTTTATTTGTTTATTTATTTCATTCATAAAGTATAAAAAGACATCAAGAGTGTCACAACATCAACATACAAGAAATGAACGAAAAGGAGCAGAAAGAAGAGAATGTTCTGTGCCCCCTTTTCCCTTTTCAAGACAAAGCATCAACACAGATGGTTACTAAACAAGAAATTCCATTCCATTCCATTTTCTTCCGCTTATCCGGGGCCGGGTCGCGGAGGCAGCAGTCTAAGCAGGGACTCCCAGACTTCCCTTTCCACGCACACTTCCTCCAGCTCTTCTGGGGGACCCAAGGTGTTCCCAGGCCAGCCGAGAAACATGGTCCCTCCAGTGTGTCCTGGGTCTTCCCCGGGGCCTCCTCCCAGTGGGACATGCCTGGAACATCTCCCGAGGGAGACGCCCAGGAGGCATCCGGAACAGATGCCCGAGCCTCAACTGGCTCCTCTCAACGTGAAGGAGCAGCGGTTCTACTCCGAGCTCCTCCCGTGTGACTGAGCTCCTCACCCTATCTCTAAGGGAGACGCCCAGACACCCTGCGGAGGAAACTCATTTCGACCGCTTGTATCCGCGATCTCATCCTTTCGGTCACTACCCAGAGCTCATGACCATAGGTGAGGGTGGGAACGAAGACTGACCGGTAAATCGAGAGCTTCGCCTTTCGGCTCAGCTCCTCTTCACCACAACGGTCCGATACAGCGACCGCATCACTGCTGAAGCTGCACCGATCCACCTGTCAATCTCACGCTCCATCCTCCCCTCACTCGTGAACAAGACCCCGAGATACTTGAACTCCTCCACTTGAGGCAAGGACTCTCCACCCACCTGGAGAGGACAAGACACCTTTTTCCGGTCGAGAACCATGGCTGATCTTCATCCCAGCCGCTTCACACTCGGCTGCAAACCGCCCCAGTGCACTTTGCAGGTCCTGGTTCGATGAAGCCAACAGGACAACATCATCTGCAAACAGCAGAGATGAGATCCTGTGGTCCCCGAACCGGACCCCCTCCGGCCCCTGACTGCGCCTAGAAATTCTGACTGCACAAGAAATCAGTTCAATTATTAATCAACTGCAAACAGAAATCTTCACAACAACTTAGTTTTCTTTTTCATGCATACACATTGCATTCGATTTTATGTGTGTGTGTGTTTTTTTTTTTTTTTTTTTATGCCATCATTGCCATCTTTTATGCCATCTTTTATTTCTTTGTCAAGATTATTCCATAAGTTTACTCCTTTCACAGTGACGTTTCGCTCCATAACCTTAGTTCTGAATCTGGGTTTTTTGAACTTTTAAATTGTAGTAACTTGTTTTCATCTCAAACAGTCTGAATATTTACAGGTAATACACGGCACTTTGCTTTATACATGACTTTGAAGAGACTTAAGTCAACAATATCATACATTTTCACACGTTAAGTTGAACAAATAAAGGGTTGGATGTCTCTCTACAATGACTGTTGGTGATTATTTTTATTATAATTCTATGGCAGCACCTGGGCCACATGCAGCCCTTTGGTGGACTCTGACCTGCCCCTTTAAGCTAATTTGGAATTGCAAAATAAACATGTTTTATAATTTTACCTCATGCATGAACTAAAGTTTAAGTTCCAAATTCCATATCGCTTAAAATTACTTTATCAGTCCATCAGTTGTTTTAGCTTTTCTGTTAGGAAAAAGATTATTTCACAACTGATTCTTCCCATTTTAGATGACTGCGATATCATTTATCAAAATACTACAACTTCTATTCTCCAACAACTCAATGTTATCTAAAGAGTCTGTGCAGATTCATTCTCCGCTGTCCCTTCAGAACTCACCACTGTACCATGTATCACCAACTGTCCTGGCTTCATCTGTCCTCCCCCGACGTCAACTTCACTGGTTATTATTTATTTTTAAATGTATTAATCTCAGTTATCCTGAATATCTTAAACAGTATTTAATTCCATTCAGATCCTCTTATAGTTTACGTCATGCAGATCAGATATTTTTTGTTGTCCCAAGAGTCAAAATGCAAATTGGAAAATACTCATTTAAATATAAAGCTGCTTCTGATTGGGACAATCTTCCCTCATTGATTTGCGCTTTAACTTCTGTCCCTTTATTTAAAAATGCTCTGGTTCAACATTTACATCACCCATGTCATTGTTTTTGATTATTTTGTTGAATTTTGTTGTTTATCTTGTTGTATCCTGTGATTATCTTTGAACTCTGTTTATTATTATTATTATTATTATTATTATTATTATTATTTTTTTTTTTTTTTCTTTCAAATTTGTTTTATTATGTGTGAAACAGTCAAGCGTGAGTGAGTGTGACTGTGTGTGTGTGTGTGTGTGTGTGTGTGTGTGTGTGTGTGTGTGTGTGTGTGTGTGTGTGTTGATTTTGTTGTTTTGATGCTTATTTGAATTTATGTCTCCTACTATTTGCCCGACTGTATCTGTCTTTTGTTGTTGTATTTATGAGGACCTCCTTGAAAACGAGATGGTGACACATCTCAAGGGGCTTATCCTCCAAACAAATAAATTTAAATTCAAGTGTTTTTTTTTTGTTTTTTGTTTTTTTTGATGATATTTTTTTTTGTAAGGCAGCCTCACTTTTTCATGGCTCAGTCATAACATAAACTCTTACCAGTCTGACCAAAACAAAACGTCAAAACAATGATATTTACTACTTTTTATTAAGAAATTCAATTAATATTATGCAGAATTGACTTAAGCGTTTTGGTTCTCCACAATATTTTCTGTTTCGCATGTGGCCCCATGAAAAAAATAATTGCCCACCCCTGTTCTAGGGTAATAAAAAACATATGTCTGTTTATTATTACACACACGTCCATCGGGTTTGGAGTTAAAGGGCCAATATTACACTATTTTGCAGCGCTAGAATGTTGTTTCCTCGTCAAAAACAGACCTGGGGCGGTGTTTTGTTTCATTCACACGTCCGAGTCACCCTTTGAGTAACTCTTTTCAAGTTAACAGCTCCATTCTGTCTTTAGGAAATTCAAGGGATGGAATTATCCAAATGATTCTAGTGAAGGTGATGGACAAGATGGAACAGAGATGGAACTCAACCTAAATCTGCAGGGTTTGTGTGTTAAAACATGTACAAATGAAACAAAACACAACTCCAGGTCTGTCTGTGTTGAGGAAACTACATTAGAACATAGATCAAAAACCATATTACACTATTTTTTTATCTAATAAAGCTAAAAATCCTCTGTGTTTTTCTCAGTCTCTTCATCTCAACCATGTTTTGAATATAAATTTCAAGGCCAATTTAGTTCTCAAAGCATTCCATTAACACAACGGTTTGAGGATGTTTGAAATATTTGACCTTTATCATTGCGACATATTCCCTGCAAGACCTTTTTGAGTTTCAGAAAGGGATGTAACAATAACCGAAATATTGTATCGTTAAAAGTCACACAATAATACCCCGGGCTGTCACAAAATATCAAATTATAAGTTCGTTACTTTGCTTAAATACATGGTTTTACGGCAGCAACAGCTTATAAACATTGGGAACTACATATCCCATGATTCATTTCAGTGCAAATAACATGAAGAAATATGTTTTTTCACTTGAATTCTTGGGATTATGACGGAAATAACCACACCAAAATCTTGTTAAGGTATTAGTATTAAATTTGTATTATTAGTATAAAAGCAAAAAAGTGTCCCATCTATACTTATATCAGCCTCTCCAAAATATCGCAATAAATATCGTACCGTGAGATGCATGTCGTGATAATATCGTACCGAGAGATTTGGGTATCGTTACATCCCTAGTTTCAGAAGACTTTGACTAAATAAATCTTAAGTCAGAATACAAATTTTTTGTTCTAATGGAGTGAGTTCTTCACCAGTCGGGCGTCACCTAGTGCCTCCGCTCAATTTAATTTCTTTCCAGCGACTAGGTCAGGAATCAGAATACACTAGACCACAGGTGTCAAACATAAGGCCCGGGGGCCAGATCCGGCCCTCCAAGACCTTTAATGTGGCCCTCGGCTGATTTTCTACTAAAATATTTTTATTATATTTTCTATTAAAATCTTGTTAATTTTCTGTGGTGTTTATCACAGC